TAAATGTAAATCAACCAAGAGGTGGAACTCATTGGTCATTATTAATCTATGTTAAAGGGCTTAATACATTTTTTCATATACACGTTAACAATTAAAATTAATAGAATGAAATTTAGAGCAATTGCACCGCATCCTTCAACATCATCAATATTGTTGTCTCAACCAACATCATCAACATCAACATCATCAATATTGTTGTCTCAACCAACATCATCAACATCAACATCATCAATATTGTTGTCTCAATCAATAACATCTTTGTCATCATCTCCTGAATCAACATCAACACCACCTTATCAACCAACACCAGTGGTATTAGAACAAATAAGTAATAAATATAACTGCATATTATGTGGTAAATGGTTGAAATCAAAAATTACATTAAGGAATCATGAAAACAAATATCATAAATTCAACAAAATAATTCCACATTTTTCAGTTTTATCATCATCTAATGATATAGAAGAATTAAAACAATGTATTATAATCAACGTTCAAAAAAAAGTGGGATTCAATAGACATCATGTTGGTGTTAAAAAATTCATTTTGGAACCTTTTCCTGAAAACGTTTTTGCAATGCTTTTTTTTCAAGAAGAAAATTTTTTTTATTATCCTATTAAAAGATACTATATTTGTAAATTTGAAAATATTGAAGGAAGGAATAATTTAAGTATAATATTAAATAATTATAAATGGTGGGAGAGAAAAAACAATGCAACTGGTACAATTTCTTTTGTTGTGATGGAGGATGATGGAGTAGTAAAACCAGAAATCAAATCTCTTTGGAGAGAAAAATTTTTAAATAATATGAAATGTGGATTTTGTAAGGTTGAGTTTAATGTGAATTCTAAATAAAATTTAGTTAATTGAATCAATTGGATTAATATGAATAATTTTTTTTTTTGAATGATGAAGGTGTATTATTTTTTAGATAATATAATTGTCTATTCTCAAAATTTAATATTTTATATACAGCTGATTGTTTTTTTTCACCACCACCCATACAAGTAATTCCAAAAAACAAACAAACCTAAAAAAAAATTTATTAATTAATATAAAATCTTTTTTTTTTAAAAAAAAAAAATAAAGGAAATATTATATTCACATGATGATGACTCTTTTTTTCTACACTTGAAGAAAACAAACGCAATGATAATGCTTGATTTTTTAATTCTTTTAAAAATTGTGGTATATGCATGGCAAACACATGCATATAAGGAGTAACATCCTCACTACGATATATATTAGTAAATGTTTTAATCCATTGTTTAACATCTTTTTGAAAATTATCTATTTCAATATCACTCAATGCAGTTTTTCTAATTAATTTATACAAACATACAAATTCTCTCCACATTTTTTCTATGTTAATCCCCTTTTCATTATTATAAAATTTAGAAACAAGAAAAAATTCTAAAAATTTCAATTTATCTGATCCATTTAAGGTTGTCCAGTTGCATTTAGAACTTTTTAAATCATAAAATTCAAATTTGGTTATTCCAATTCTTCTGGTTTCTTCAATTATTCTATTAGCCATTTCATTTTCAAATTTTTTTAAATTTCTACAAAGATCTGAAAATAAACATTCTAATAATATATCTCTGATTCTAAGCATTAAGTGCAACTCATCTGGTATCCAGTTTTTATGATCAATCATAGGCAATAAACAATCATAATTAAAACCTATTTAAAAATTATTGTTAATATAATTTTATAATTTAAATAAAAATAATATAAACTTAAATATTTACTTTGTTTTTTTGTATTATAAGTGTTACTCCATTGAATATTCATATTTGCTCTTTGAAACTTTGAACAATCACAATAAAGACAAAAATATTCATTGGTGGGAGCTAAGGTTGTGGGAGAAACTCCTCCAGAAATCAATCGACAGAGTTTCGACAGGTTACACATTAATTGTTTATTAGAG